ATACATCAAGCTTCCAATTAAATTTTGATATGGAATTTTTGGATCAACGGTGTCACTTTTACTCATCCTCAAACCTGGTAGAATTGGTGAATTTACAGGTTTGCAATCTTGCATTCCATACACACTTAATATATTTTCTATATACCTTTTCTGATCAACAATTAATTCTGAACCTACTCTTCTTATTCTCAAACTTAGGGCATGTTCTATGGGACCTAAATTCTTTAATTTAAATTTACTATCTAGTAGAGAAAATATATCATGCTTTTTCTTTTGATTATTACCAAATGCAAAAATGTCATCCACATAAATTGCTAAAATTAAATAAAGGTTATCTTGTTTGAGAATATAAATACATGGTTCATGAACAGACTGCTTAAAACCAATATTAATCAAAGCATTATGCAACTCTTTATTCCAACTTGAGGCTGCCTGCTTCAGTCCATACATAGCTTTGTTTAGTTTGCATACCTTAGGCACATTATCATTTTTACCTTTATCAATTAACAAGCCCTTTGGCATATACATAAAAACATCTTCATTTAATGTTCCATGAAGAAAAGCAGTAACAACATCCCAATGGTCTATAAACCAATCAAACTGAATTGCCAAAGAAAAAAGAATTCTAAGTGCACTAGAACGAACAACTGGTGAATATGTATCATGATAATCAATACCAAATCTTTGATTATACCCACGTGCAACTAACCTAGCCTTATATTTGACAATATTGTTGTCACTGTCTTTCTTTATTTTAAATACCCATTTGCTATCTATAGGGGTTACACCCTTTGGTAAATCTACAATAGACCAAGTATTATTAATATCCAATGATGAAAGTTCAGCATTAATAGCATCTTTCCAACAAGCTGGTAAATTATCAAAATCATCAAAATGTAAACATTCATCATCAGATTCCATGCACATATACACATGATAGTCTGGAAACTCCTTTATCTTTCTATTACGCAATGGATATCGTTGAGAATTTTCACTTTCGACATTTCCATTACTGTTACCACTACACAATGGATCCACATTTATCACTGACTCACTTTCACTTTCTGATAAATTATCACAGTCTAAGAACACAGGATCACTATCACATGAATTATGTATAAAATCTTTACCTGAACTTGGAACCTGGTCACATGCTTGAGCTGGATCAGCGGTGACAGCCCTTGGGGCCATAGACGATGATGCATGTCCTCTTGTCACTTTCTGAACTTTGCTGCTGTTGACTTCATCAGCATCAGGAATTAAGGATATCACAAAATCATGATTTTTCGAAGATTCCTTCTGATGTTTAGACTGCTGCTCTGTTAAATCCTGTTTAAAAATATCAACACATACTTGTTCTGGTAGGAATTTAACATCTCTAGATAAAACTATCTTTCTGTCCTCTGTCCATATTCTATACCCATCTTTGTCTCCACAATATCCAACTAAGTTTCCCTTTATTGCCTTTTTATCTAGCTTTCTGCGCTTTTGGTCAGGTACATGAATAAAACATTTTGTGCCAAATATCTTCAGATGACTTATATCAGCTTTTTTGCCAAACCATAAACTGTATGGTGTAGATGAGTCATCAACACCTGTTGGACCAGTCCTATTCAGAACATATGCAGCAGTGTTAACAGCTTCTGCCCATAGCTGCTTATCAAAATTATTTGCATGTAGCATACTCCGAGCTGCTTCCATTAATATTCTGTTTTCACGCTCCGCAGCTCCATTCTGCTGTGGGCTATATGGAATGGTCATGCGATGATTAATTCCAAATGATGACAATATGGCTTGCATTTCCTTGTTTATAAATTCTTTACCTCCATCAGTTATTAATTCTTTTATTGTATGACCTATTGTCTTAGCTTCCAAAATAAAGTTCTTTGTTGCTTCTGAAACTGCTGTCTTTTCTTTTATAAAATATACTTTTCTGTATTTGGAGTAATCGTCTTTGAATGCAATACAATATCTACTACCTCCAACAGATACTTCAGCAATGGGGCCACAGACATCAGCATGAATAATTTGTCCTGGTACCTGTGCTCTGATATTTCTTGTATGAAAAGGCAAGCGAGACATTTTACCAAACATGCACCCATCGCAAACAATTTTTTCTGCTGGCTGGAATGGAATATTATTCAGTTTTAAGAATTTTTCAACATGTCTAATATTCTGGTGACATAGGCGTTCATGCCAGATATTTAAGTCTGCCGTATGACTACTAAGCATACAATAATTTTCAGGTAATATCACCCTCATCTCCAATCTGTACATATTTCCCTTATTTCTTATTGCAACTGCTTTTATGTTATTGCCATTTTTAAATATTCTTTTATTTTTATCACCTATTTCAATTAAATTATTTTTTAAAGCTGACCCTGAAGAGAATAAATTCTGTTTACAGGTAGGAACAAACCAAGCATCTTTTAAATGACCTTTATTATATATACGCTTTTCAGTCTTTGCAACTAGAGCGACTTCACTTTCAGGTTTGCTTTCATTCAATCTTTGCTCATGTAAGCGAAGACGTTCCATTAATGTGGTTACATTTCTATCCGATGCAGGGACAGATTCCCATGCATTTTTGAACTCAAGATAGTTAACAGGCAATGTATTCAGTATTCTGTTTAAAAGTAAGGACTGAGGCAAAGTACTGCCTTCATTTTTCAATTCTAAGTTTAATTGAGTATACAGTCTTTGTAACTTAGAGACATGCGTAGCTATACTGTCCTCTGGTAACTTTTTATACGTAAATAGCTCGCAGTACAAAAGATCCAGTCTTCTTTCATTTTTCTGTTCATACACAGCATGAAGAGTATCCCACATTTCTTTCGCACTTTTGCAGGTTAAAATGTGCTGTTTCGGCTCTCTGCCTACTGTTGAACCTATTAAATACCTTGCAATTGATTCCTTTTCATGGTATAATTTGAAAGACTTTGGTTCTTCTCCATCTTTTGGTTGTTGCGCTACACCGGTCACATGGTCCTCAACTCCATGTAGGGTTATTTGTAAGTTGATATCGAATTTCCATGAAATCCAATTACCTTCACCCTCCAACTTGTCCACTGTGATTTTATCTAATCGCACAGACATTATTGACAAGTACCTCAAGAAGTTCTGAACAAAAAACTTTCAACCGGAAAAAAAAAAAAATGGCGGCTGTGACTTGTGGAAATTGTTCTAGTTTTGTACGAATAATTACAATACCATATAAATGGAAAATCAGGCTGGGCCATAACCTGTTATGATTATTATTGTTATTACACGTCAAATAAATATGTTATTACAAGTCAACTAAATGGATTATTAACGATGGAGAAGAGAAATAAAAAAACAACCTTTTTCAGTTCTGTCATTGACACACAAGAAGTTTTTTTTTTTTTTATTTTATAATACCATAAACAAAGTTAGGGTTGCTATATAAAGTTCACAATAAACTATACTTCAACAACTTTTAATGAAATTACATAAGGCAATAGTTTTCACTGACTCTATGAGCTCTTTGCAAGCTCTAGCCAAATATCCGTTTAAATCAAAACCAGTTTATCCCATTATTTGTGACATAAGACAAAGTCTTTATCTTTGCATGTTGAGAGGTTATTCCGTTTCTTTTGCCTGGTTACCAGGACACAGTGGTATTAGCGGCAATGACAAAGCTGACCTTATTGCAAGAGAGGCTGTAACTTGTGGTGATATGTATCCGTATCATAATTACTGTAGTGACCTAGCTTGTCTCCCAAAAATATATTTAAGGTATGCCTGGAAGGAATATTGGGAAAAAACAAGTACAATAAAAGGAAGATTTTATCGCCTTATACAACCCGATATTCCTTTCAAACCATGGTTTTGTAAATTAAAGCTTGGAAAGACCGCAACAACTATTATAACTCGTATGCGTCTAGGTCACGTATGCACACCTTCTCATTTATACAAGCTTGGTATTGTACAAAGTTCGTCGTGTAATTGCGGTGCTGAAGTGGCGGACTTGAATCATATATTCTTCTCATGTTCTAAATTTGACCACACCTCCCTTTTTAATCATCTCCGATCCATCCGTGTTCCATTCCCAACTTCTATTCTTACTCTACTTTCTTCCAATGATCCTATTATCTATAAAATACTATCTTCATATATATATGATAACAATATTAAGATTTAGTTATATTACATGAATACATTTATAGTTGCATCAATTGCTTTTCCTATATATTTATAAGTATATTCTCATATGTACAAGTATATGTTTCATATCCTATAAATATCCTAGACCTAATCCTTATCCTTTCTAAATTCGTTTGTGTTAGGTATTTTTATTACTATTATCGTTTCCCCGTTTTGTTCTTGGCAAAATACCCTAATATCGGGGTGAACGCCAAAAAAAAAAAAAAAAAAAAAAAAAAAAAAAAACAGCTATAATGGATTTTTTTTCTAAAAGTTGCAAAGTTTTTTTTTTTTCTTTTGTGGCGTTCACCCCGATATTAGGGCATTTTGTCAAGAACAAAACGGGGAAACGATAGTAGTAATAAAAATACCTAACACAAACGAATTTAGAAAGGATAAGGATTAGGTCTAGGATACTTATAGGATATGAAGGATGTACTTGTACATATGAAAATATACTTATAAATATATAGGAAATGCAATTATAATTAATGCAACTATAAATGTATTCATATAATATAACTAAATCTTAATATTGTTATCATATATATATGATGATAATATTTTATGTTGCAAAGTTTTCTATTTTTTTCTTTCATACACATATAGTACCTAAGAACAAGGAATAACAAAAAAATATTCTATGTTTTTTGACTCATTAATGTAAAAGAAAGTGTGAATAGAAAAAAAAAATTCTATATTGATAGTTATACCACAGACATATAATAATGAATTCTTCATTATTATGTCGTTTTAGTCGTATGGCAACACTAGAATTTAGCTAAAAAAAAAAAAAAGCAAATTGTGTCCGCCAACCGCAATTTGACAAGTGACAATTATTAAGATTTGTTGTGTGTGTGTGTGCTGTCATCGGCTTTGCCAGCAGTAGCACCTTTTTCTTCTTTCAAGATTAATAAAAACTGATGAGTATAATCATGAATTGGAACAATTCATTTAGTTTATTTAATTACAAATTACTGGCATGTGCATTTGTGTTGGTATGTAAAATTATATTTTAATTTATATAGCCATCGTTTTCCAAAGAAAACGATTGTTTGACTTTATGCTTTATTAAGTGTGTATACGAATTTAATAGGCCTATTAATTATTTTACAATTGTTATGTTTCAGCTGTGCCATAGTTTTTACAATCCAACCGATAGCGGTGCAGTATCAATTACACAAAATAATTTAGATATGGTCTTAGGTGAGTGCTATGGGCTTTGTATGAACCCGGTTATTTAAGTTAGTCTAGATTATTACTTTTTCTCATATGAATCAATATACAAATTTATTTATATGAAGAAGATATTAATAATTACACTTTAACACTATAATACTATATTATTATTACTGGCTGTATACCAAAATCCAAATTGTCCAAGGAAATATTTTTACTGACTTCTACCTGTGACTTTGTCCGCGTGACCACCTTATGTTCACGCATCATATCCTCCATCCCATATAGTATTGGTATATCAAATTTCATATTATTTGGATAAGCTGCTAAGATTTTACCAACAAACTCACTATCACATTTATAATTACTAAATATTTATATAAGGTACTTTTTAATTTCCAATCATATGAACGCTTATATTTAAATATATTTAATAAAAATGCAAATAATAGCGTTAATAATTGCTTGCTTGCTTCATTACTAAAATTATACATATAAAAGTGAGTTTGTTCATTTTTACTTATAATAAACCAATTATCATGGCATTTAGCATACACTATAAATAATATTATTTGTGTAGAGACAGATTATTTTTTATTTTTGTCCATATGTGTCAGTCATCAATATGGAATTTGTGGGTAAAAACTAGTATTTTATAAATATTATCCTTTGAATATTATATTTTTTCCAATCAATTATTATAAGGCAATGATATTAATTTTAAACTATTGATTAATTACTGAATGTTCAATTATTGCAATAATGTTAGTATACATATTTTTTTTTCTTGTTTCAGCATCCAATGAGATTGTATTCATCAACTTCTATGCAGAGTGGTGTAGGTTCAGTAATATGCTGATGCCAATATTTGATGATGCAGCTGATGAAGTCACAAAAGCCGGATATGATAGTGGCAAAGTAGTTATGGGTAAAGTTGATTGTGACAAAGAAGGTGCTATAGCTACAAGATTTCATATAACTAAATATCCTACATTGAAACTCTTTCGCAATGGCATACCTGCTAAAAAAGAATATAGAGGTGAGTGAAACATAAAATTCATGAATCTTACAAAAAATAGTATGCAGCATACTATTTTTTGGTACTGGCGACATGTACTGGCATGATTTGTGCTAGTTCTGGGCAGAAGTTAAGATTTTATAACTGTGTGTACTATGTAGGGTGGCAAATTGTATCCCAAGTAAGATAATTTAATTCCTTTACAAAGAATACAAAATAAAAATGATTAAAGTTTTATATAACATTATTTTCTTCTTAAGTTAAATTTCTACATTTTACAGGCCAACGATCTGTTGAAGCCTTTTCTGAATTCATCAAAAAACAACTAACAGATCCTATCAAGAACTTTGGATCACTTAAAGAATTGCATGACTTGAGTGAGGATAAGAGGCATATTATTGGCTATATGGACAGAAGAGATCAGCCAGAGTATGAGGTGTTACGAAAAGTAGCAGCCAGTTTGAAAGATGAGTGTCAATTTCATGCAGGCTTTGGAGATGCCTCACAACAAATGCATCCTCCAGGTAATTACATATAGTATTGTAATTGCGAACTTGTTAATTTTTTACAGTTTACCTATATAGTAAAAAATAATTACCAAATATGTCTGACTATCAACAATAAGTAATTTCATTTAATGTTATCTACAATCAACTCAGCCTGAATTGATATTGATATACAGAGTATAAATATCTATCAATGGTATCAAATGTAGATGTAACATGAATATTTAATTAGTCCTTATAAAAAAAATATATTATTAATTTGAGAAGTGGAATCTTTGTTACATATTAATACATATATTTTTTTATGCAACTAAGTTGTATATTTATACATAACCTGAATAGTTGATATATCTGTGCAATTTTTATACTTATAAGCTTTATAAATACAGAGGTCATTAGCTTAATTAATTTATTGTTTATAATTATTAACATGATTAAAAATGATTTATATTTTATGTAATCTAAATATTAATCATACGCTTATTTTGTGGAAGAAATGTTTGATAATAACAGTGCTTAATAAATTAATGTGTTACCTAAAAATGGTTTCAGGTCAGCCAATAGTAGTATTTAGGGCAGATAGAAAAACATCTACCGAACCTGATGAAACTTTCAAAGGCTCATTGACCAACTTTGATGAGTTATATGCCTGGGTCCAAGAGAAATGTATTCCTTTAGTTCGTGAAATAACATTTGAGAATGCTGAAGAACTGACAGAAGAAGGGCTACCATTCCTTATCTTATTCCACCACCCATCAGATACAGAAAGTGTGAAGAAATATAAAGAAATCATTACTCGCGATTTAGTTGGTGAAAAACGTATGTATTATTTCTAATTAATAATTAAAAAGTATTGAATGTTGTATTAGTATTTTAGTAAATATATTTTTTTTGTAATTTGTTACTTCAAAGCCATTATATTATTATACTATATAATTTAGTTTTGTAGTGGAAGATAGTGATAATAACACTTGCACAACTAATATTTATTATTAATGTAAATTGAACAAGTAAACTGTAATGTTGCATGCAGCGTTGCTTTATTTACAATTGATAAGTATCTAACACATTTGATAACTGTATGTACATACAGTACAGAATACATAATAATTGCCTATTCTTTCTTTTCCCTGTAATGTAAGATAAAACTAAAGTAATACAGTACAGTACAACTTTGCAAGACAAATAAATAAAACCCTATATCAAATAACAAGGTAGGCTAAAATCTTTATGGAAAGAAACCTATGCACTAGGATAACGGTTTCAATTACTCGTTACAATATAATAACTGTTTACTATTTCAGAGAATGTAAATTTCTTGACTGCTGATGGGGTTAGGTTTGAACATCCACTTCACCATCTTGGCAAGTCTATATCGGATTTGCCACTTATTGCTATTGACTCATTCCGTCATATGTACCTCTTCCCAAGCTATAAAGATATGGAAAAGCCTGGAAGATTGTATCAGTTCCTTCAGGATTTATATTCAGGAAAACTACATAGGTCAGTATATAATTTATGTTTTTCTTAAACATTTATTTATTTATTTTACACTTTATGGCACCAAGTAAATGATATACTGAAATCAATGATATAGTACATGGTAATTCTATATCGTCCAAGGTGGCGCTTAATACATTTTATCTTGCCAGTGTCTATAGTCATAGACAAAATTCAGAATGAAAAAAATATAATATTGATATGGATAATACAATTTATATAGTTGTCTTTTTTTTTGCTGAACCAATGATTTTATAGTTCGTAGTGTCTTCCAATAAATTTTTTAGCAAATAGCTGTCACAAAATATTAAAACAACAGCTGTATATATAAAGAGCAAAATATTAAGTATTTAACAATACGTGTTTGTTTCCTTTATTGCAGCATTGTATAATTGATAAGTTTATCACAAAGGTGTGTTCTTTTAATTATATACTGCTTACTAATTCTTTTGTGAGTAAAATTTTTATGTTATCAGTGGCAGCACTAAGCTATGCTGACATTCAAGTAATCTATTTAAAAATGAAGGTCTCTATAATACTAGTAGTCCCATTCCATAAATTATAAATAAGTTGATATTTTTTCTTGTAGGTAGAATTAAAAATGTGTAGAAGATGTTAGCAAAGAAATTCTAAACGAAGTTAGTGTTTAGGGAAGTTACCATATTATAATGTTTAAAAGTTATTTTTTATATATTTTCTTACTATAAAACTAAGACTTTTCCCCTTTAGAGTAGGTAAAGACATCATCATCATTGTATCCGTTTCTAGTTTTTCCACATTAAATTAACGCATTTGATTTCTTTGATTTCAAATATAGAATTATTTCGCATGTATCATTATTTGGTGGTTTGTTTATAGCTTATCTCACATATTACTACGTAAAATTTCCAAAGAGTGTTGATGTCAAGCAGGTCGTAAAACTATAAGCCAAATCTTTTTGTAATGTGAATAAAAAAACATTACGCCGACCCCAAATAAAAATTGGAATAAGGGTAGGCAGGTGATAATGATGATGATTACTAGGCAAAATTCTTCCATGTTATCATAGATGTATCCAGGATAAGTTTATTTATTGTTCAGCCATATATATGATTGAACAAACGTTCAACCATCTTCATAAACTGACTCGAATATTAGTGGATTGATTTATCATATGTTAATCCTCTAATATTTAATCAATTTCTTGGAAATAATAACCGTTCTACAATCGTGATTATGAATAAGTGGTTATTTCACGCCTTCCATAAACAATTTTATCAGAGCGTAATGTGAATTTTCTTGATGATGTAATTACATTATTTATCTTCACGGGTTATTAGTAGATGTATGTGTTATAATAAACTGCGTTTGTATGCGTGTTTCTTAACTTATTCAAAACTGTAGAAACTATTATTATAATTATATATAAGTAAATATCTATATATAAAAGTAAATATCTATATATAAAAGTAAGTTTATTTTCCGGGATATTAGTTTTTAGCATAGTAGTAATTCTTTATTCTTGAGGCAATACCGAATCATTTGGTTAGTTCAGTTACTTTATTTTTACAGAATTTGTCGTTATTATATTAGACAATTTGCTGCCCAGATACGGATTTAATAACTATCAAGATACGTGGCTCTTTCTTTAGCGTCCTTACGAACATTATACATGTGAAAGAAAGTTTCTATCATTGTTGCCACTTGGTTTCGCTTCTTACGCTTAAAAATTTTTCTAATGGTCACGTAATTTACTACTTAAGTGGAGAAGAAAATGGGCTACTTTTTAGCTCAGTTAATAAACATATCCAGGTCATGCAAACGAAGTCATTGGAGACTAGTTGTGAATCCTTTATGATACATAACAATACTAACACGATAGAAGTTTATTGGTCGCGTACAATGCGGCTTTAGAGGAATTTCCTCCGCGAACGCTCAGGCTGTGGAATGAGTTTCCTACTGAGACTACAGTATGAGATCCTTCAAAATTAAGTATTAAAGTTTTTTCAGGGTCGGCAACGCACATGTGACACCCCTAGTGTTGCAGGCGTCCATAGGCTACAGTTATCGTTTACCATTAGACGGGCTATGTGCTTTGCCACCTTCGTAGTATAAAATAACTTAATATAGAAAAAGTTTTTCCAAGTGTGATATTAATCTTTTTTCCCCAATACACTTTCTGACATTTTTCCCTATTTAAATAAACTATTAAAAGAATGTATTTCTGTGTTCGGTGGTTTAGTAAATTATTTTGTTATTACAGGGAATTCCATTATGGGCCGGACCCGGGGCAGCCGCAGTTGGATACAGATGTGAAAGTGACTACACCGCCAGAGTCTACATTCAAGAAACTAGCGCCATCCAAGAATCGTTACACTCTTCTCCGCGATGAGTTATAAGGTTACTGCGTCTAGGTCATGTAATTTAGCTTAAGTAAGCAAGCCACTAAAGATATAATTGTATAAATTGTTTTTATCTCGTTTTTTGAAAATTACTGAATCGAAATTTATTTATCTGTTCTATTCGATAATTTATTATTTTTCTATTGAAAACTTAAAATGTAGTTTTTTTTTATTGTTCTAATAAAGTTACTTCTTGTGGATGAATTTTATGTTTATATAAAAATTAATTTTTATTAGAAGTCTGAATATATGTAAATTTCGGATATCGTCCGAACTATTTTATTTAGATATTAAAATAAGGTTGATTATATATTTATAATATATATTATAAATCTTCATCTATTCTTGTCATAATTTTTCTCCACTTTTTACTTCATTTAATATTTTAATTAATTCTAATATTCATAAATGATATATATTCGCTGTCAAGCTTTCTTTATCCACTTGACACATTAAAATACTACAGTATTCTGTAGTTAAGATTAAACTTATCGAAAACAATTTGTAGTAACATTAAGGTATTCATAAATGTTATTATTTATACAGGTTGTCAATAAGTTGTATCATTAATATAAAATAAAATGATTGTCGTGGAGATTTTTGAATTGTATAATATGATTAATATTTTTTTTTTATAAATAGGTACTGGAATATTTATGAACATCTATATAATTATAATATTTCTGTAAATTGTGTTTCTTTAAATTTTGTTTCCATTCGAATTTATTTTACGTGTATCATTTTATAATATTCAAATATTCAAGATTGTAATAGATATAGACGTATCGAAAAACGAAAATGTCACGTTTCAACAATACCTTGAGGTATTAATAATTTAATAGATAATGTTTAATAGTTGTATTAGTCACGATTAATGTTTTTTTTTCAATTTATCGTTTTTTTTTTTTACTATTTTTAAAGGGTCCTAACATATTCCAGTTTCACCAATATTGAGTGTGACGCGCAATATTGAGTGGTACGATGCACGTTTACTGACGTCATATTTGGTAAATTATAGTGTTTATAGGGATTATATATTCTGTATCATATGTCGATGTTCATTATGATGACATTCGTAGGGGCTCCGCGTGACGTCATCATCATCGTCATATCAGCCATTAAATGTCCACTGCTGAACATTGGCCTTCCCCATAGGAGTTTTGCTAGTGGATGCCACGCTTAGCAGGCGGGTTGGCAACCGCAGTTAGTCATTGGTGATGTTTTATGAGGGACTTTGCTGTCCATCCTTCGACTATTAAGTTCACTTAGTCGTCCCATACGACATCCACAGAAAAGGAAGGAGTGGCCTTTTCTATGTCTGGATCACACAGTAATTTGCATGATATTAAATGTTAATAACACTAATAGATGCTTTTATATTTTATTATAGCGTGTTACGATATCAAAGTATTTGTACACGAGTGCCCAAAAAAAGGAATGTAAAATTGTATTTTCAGAGTTTATTTCTGAGTTTCTTTATTTCTCGAAAACTTGTAAATGGCTGAACAGACTTGAATGTTGGGGTATTGTTAGAATTCATATATCATGCTGACTGGCACTGGCTATAATTTTTAAATAGTTATTTTTTGTCAGGGCAATCCAGTCATTTTTTATTTGTGGAGCAAATACTACTTGTTGTGTCATGAAGGAAAGCACAAAATTATATGAATATGATTAAGGAAACGTTTTTAATTTTCTGCGTCTACATTGTTACATATAATGACTTTAAAAGTACCTCCATACAATCGAACATTTTGCTCTCCAATATTATCGTGACAGTAAAAAGATCTCTATCAGAGATGAGCTTAACCTTGCAAACAAGTTGTTAAACTAATCGCTGTATTTTTTTACAAGTACAATAAAGAATATAATAAAATAATTTGAATTTCATAGCAAATTACGATGTATATACAGCAAAGCAATCTTACATATGCGTAGAAGTACCAAATAAGCATGATATTAAAATCGGTTTTAGCTAAAAACAGAAATAATCTACAAGAATGTAATTAAAATTGAAATTAAACCTTTTATAAGGTCTGTGTCCATTAAAAAATAGTCATTGGTGGTGATGCTGTTCGTATTGTCTTGAGAAAGGTCTTGATACAATATAAAAATATGTTTAATAAATTTTATTTCATCTGTAAGCCGGAACATTCCTTGCTTGTCAGGCATTCAGGAAAACCTATGCGAATTAATGGTTTCGATTAAAAACTTGCTCTAGTTTTCAATTTTAATAAAATTTTAAAATCTTTTTCCAGTTCTTCTGTTGCGTATACTGATATACGTTATCTTTTCTTTTTTTACAACCGCCTTTAAAAAGAAGGAGGTTTTTAAGTCGATTAAATTGTTTTTATCTTCGTGATACCGTCATTAGTAAATAGATTTGGAAAAATATTTATTTTATCTAAAGGGATATAGGTACTTAGAGATTGGGTTCGTGGAAATTTTATCAAAATCAGTTTGGCATTTTTTAAATCAAAATAATTGGTTTTGTCACAAAAGAAATCGGTTTTTTTGTGGCGCACAATCTTAGTTATATTATTTTCAAGAATGTGTGATATTCTTGTCTCTATTTCAGTATCGCATTGTATTAAATTATAATTATTATTTTGCTACTATACAGCCTTGTCGTTAATTCCTTCTTTATTCTTGGTCCTTTTTTTATTACTAAGACATTTTTTATTCTTATAATGATTAGTTTAATAACAGGTGCGCATAACGTACCTTAATAGCTGTTATTGCATTTAAAATGTTTTGTAGACTTAATTACCGATTTTTTTTTCACAATCTATAAATAATGTATTATAAAAACGAATAGCCTGCAACATATGAGTGTTTGCCATAATATATTTCTAATTATCCACTAATTAATTATATTTTAAAACCCCGGGATTGCGTATTAGCTTTACGGAGCCTATGGTCACTACAGTTATTTATGTAATTACTATTTCAGATTATTGTACAGTAGCATTTGTGACACAATTCATGAGCGATGATTATAAATAATATAAAATACGCACACAAATGATAACCAATATATAATGATACATATATATTTACCATTGTATAAGTATTTTTAATGATAGAGGCCTTTGTCCAAAGGGGGGTAAATGCGGTAATTACAAATAAACACACGGCCTGCCTGATGGCAACTTCTAATCATTGCTAGTAGACACTAACAGTATCTCGGTCCATAAATTTATGTGAATGGTAAATCTTTTTACTTACTTTTTATTTATATACACCAAGTATATAAATAAAAAGTGAGTAAAATGATTTGTATTTATTATTTTTTATTGTCTAATAGCGTCTAATATGATTTATTGTCTTCTATTTATAAAAGATTTTTCATGAATATGCCAAGTATAAAAGTAGATTATAGGTAAGACTGTCGACGTAACCAGGCGAGATACACAAAATTAAAAAAAGAAATCTAGTTTTTCTAAGAAGTTTATAACAAATGGAATACCTTTTTCGTCGTACACGTATTAGACTACGAGATAAAACATTCCTTAAAACGTAGTCATTACCTATTATTGTTTGTTCGTATACCTATTATACTTATTATAATACTTATTATGATATGAAATGGTTGTACAAAGTGTATGTAACGTGACGTGTGTTGTAATAAATTTTTCAATCCATAACATTGTTGCTGTATTTAAATCTATGTACATCTAGATCATTTGCTGTATTGAATAATTTTGAAATGATTATGTGAGGTGATTTTTTATTTTTACCCAAGATAGCATTTTAAATCCTTACTAATATTTTAAATGTGAAATTGAGTTTGTTTGTTACCTTTTACCGTCTTAACGGCTGAATCAATTACTGTGAAATTTATTATGTATATACTATATGAGATGGAAAATGATATAAGCTACTTTTTAAACCGGTCAGTAAATGTATCCCTGTCACGCAGATGAAATCGCGATTGAAAGCTAGTTATTATACATATTATCAGGTCGCACTCTATCTGGTCTTTCCTGAAAATCTTCGTAGTTAATTGCTAATTAGTTGAATTGGGCCTACTGTTTTCTTTTTTTTATACTGCGAAGGTGGCAAACAAGCATACAGCTCTTCTGAAGGTAAAACGGTCAATTTCATTTCTCTATCAATAAAATTTATATGTACTTATATTGTCTCTAGTTGTATTTTTTTATAACGATAAACAACGTGTAGGTATTAATAAATTTAAAAGCACATACGTTTACTATGTCTGAAATGTTAAAGGAAAATTAGATTAGTTGATACATACTTAAAAATAACGTAGATTCATTTTTAGGGACCGGAAGAATACATAGTTTATCAACAGCCGGACGTGGTCATTAGTAGATGAAATTAAAAAAAAAGCTCTAATTTTGGCAATCGGTATTCATTTAGTAACCATTCATCAAAAGAAAAAGTTGACCGCGATGAAAAAAAAAATTGCAAGGTCCAATTTCAGCACGATGCACCGGCGTCAAATGTGTCATTAACAGTCTCCATATCTGTTCGGAACAGTTTGTTGTGTAAAACAAACTACGACCGAGAGGTAGTTTTTACTGATGTGGAGCAATTTCGGCTGTCATTTGGTAGAGGGAGAAGCTTTTGAAGACCGCCGCGCCGCCGCAGGGAGTCTGTGCTACGCAGAATTCCTTTACCTACTTTACTTTTTTTATGATAGACCAGAGGGTGACGAGCTATTTCTTAAATATAATCTTATAAATGTGATTTCTTGCCAAAATTATTGTTGCACCGCTAGAGTAATATTTCAACGGTGCTTAGATTCGCAATGCGAAAGTAATTTTTTACTTAAGTGTGTAAGTGCTCTTCATTGTAGATATATACGTACACATATTACATATCTTATGTTTTGTTCATTCTATTATTCTATTTAGAAATTATTAGTTTATTCATATGTAGATATTGAATTTGGTACCACCTATTCTTTTATAGCTGATTTGCTTAACTAGAATAAATAGGTAGGTAGGTATATATTTACAAACTTTACAAACACACACACACACACACACACGCACACGCACACGCACACGCGCACACACACACACACACACTGCTTGAGTACCTTACCCGTGTGAATTAGTATATAAATTAATACAGTTCTTAAATAATGAACGGATAACAATAACAAACATCTAAACATTCAAGTAGGACTAGAATATTTCTATTAAAATGTAAAATCTACTTAGTAAAAATGATCACGTTGATTTGAGCGACGATATTTTTTTATCGAAAAAAAAAAGACGGTTTGGTGCGAACCTGTGCATTCATTGTGCGAAACAGGTACATTGGTGATCTTATTACAAGATGTAGCCGTGACAATAGCTACATCCCGATATTCACTCCTTTACAGCATCAGTTCCGATCAGATAACACTAATCGCTCGCGTTATACGATACCAATTCGAAGTTTGTTCATGTTGCATTAAAACTTTTTACCTCTTTTGTAAAAGCGAAATATCTTGTTACTTAACTATGCGATACAATATGGGATTGTCACAAATGTAACTTTTTAGAGATTTTTATAGTTATGAAAAAGTATGATGATCTAATAAAATTATGCTCAATATTAATTTTATATATATGACGTAGGTATAATATTTTTTTTTATGTAACTTAAAATGGCTGATAAAATAGACTAGCTGACGGCCCCCTTGATGGAAAGTGGTAACCGTCGCCTACAGACATGAGCAGTACCATGGACAAAACAGAGTATACTGTAGAGTAATAGTTCAGTATAGATAGTGAGTGTAACTTTATTTTACCTAACAAATTGTTTTGGGTAGAATGAAACGAAATAAATAGTTAAGACATGAATATGCTAAAGAATGTAATTTCGTATGAGATAGTCATATGCATAAATGAGTACAATTTTTAGTTTAATAAAATATCTAATACCAGGAGAGATACTACTCAAAATATTTTCAACTAAATATTATGTTAGTAAGTATTATTACAGTGGCAAACAAGCATACGACCCGTCTGATAGAAAATAGGGTAACACCTGGAATGTAGATGTCACACGCGCAATGTGACCCTTAAAAAACTTTATTACGCCCTTTTTGAAGAACCCCATGCTGTAGTCCCAAGGTCAAAATTCTGCAGGAAGATTATTTCACACTGTGAGGGATTGTTTGTAAGAAGATTGCCGGTTCCATTGCTAGTAATATACCTTGTTGAGTCGATTTCCACGTAGTCCTCCTGGAAACTATCATGCTGAATTCCAGGTGTATTCATCACGATGGGCTAAATGACCTGTCTTTTCATTCTTACCTATCATCCCTCACTGCTGCTCTACCAGCATATACCTACCGTTCGCGCAGGCTACGTTACCATTATTGTCCATTAAAAAAAAACCGACAAGTAATTACGATTTTGATATTTATGTGATTATCATCTTCTAGATTTACATCTATTTTATATTCTTATTCACGCAGGCAAATCCACAGGGTAGAGTTAATATTTAATAATTCCTATCAACTCGTCATCAATTCATAGAAAGATTATAATACGCACAATTTACTCACGATAGAATGCGTGGGTGCCACGTTGGCTGCAGTGCTACAATGGGTGCAACCTGACACCATGGCGGTGCCCATAAAGTACTATAACCATTCATGGGCACTGCCAAAAGACAGGAAGTGAAGGACAACGTGCGATAGAGCCCAATTACCCGCCCATGGTATTGGAAACCCATAATTAGTGTAAAATATCCCTGGTACCAAAACGGAAGCTTTTTGATTCAGATATTTTGAAAGTTGACCGATCTAGATAGGTATGTAACTATAGTTTACGGTATCATTCCTTTGTTATTATTTGTTTCTAATATTGTTTTATATTTCCAAATTATATATGTTCATACGACAAATTTAATACTAAGATATAATGATATTTATGTATATTAATTTAATGTAAATCAATAATAACATTTAGGCATTTCTAATAGTGGAATCAAATCTTTCACAAAAAGTAGAATGGATGAACTGTGTTATAGAAACGAAAGTCTCTATTGTTGTGTCTTTCTGTTAAAAAGGGCTAGTAATATATGACTAAATCTATGCAAGCTATCTATAGACCGAAAATAAAGCTATACGGAACCAAATAAACGATGATTTTTATTATTTTTTTTATTAAAGATAATTCATGCTTATGTCATAAAATATGTTATATTTCTGAACTTGCTTCATATATTTTTAAGTATTTATAGGTATCTCATAATATTCTTATAAAAGATTATTAAATACATAAAAACAGGAAAGTATAGGTTGTAATAATAGTATACATTTTAAAAGTTCTTTTTTATATTCCTAAGTTCTCACCCGCATAAAAAAAACAGTAGCCGTCAAGATTTATGGCGTGAGCCGGGCGATCATAGCGCATTAGTAGCAACTATTGTCCACTGCATGTGGCCTTTGTCAACGAGCGGACACCGACCAGGCTACAGTAGCTGCTAAGTCTACGATGTCTCCAGTGACGAACTATTGTTCTATCAAGTCGTAAACATGTCGACAGGTTAGCATTCTCAACTCAATAATGATTCCTACTGTAACAGTAGCAATGCAATTCGAAGAAAGATTTTGTTCCGATGCACAATGAAAAATGTGTTTGAGCAAGTGCTACTACTTCATTCTATTTGAATTTATACATAATTGTACTGTTTCATATTGGTGAGGATTATGTTGACAAGTAACTTAATGCAAATAGTTTATCTATCTATTTATTTAAATATGAAAAATATGTAATCAGATTATATTTAAAGTAGTTATTTAAGATTTAAATTTAAAAAGGTTTAGGTATAACTAAACCAAACCAGGAGGTTCGGAATAGGGTTTTATTTAGATTTTTCATGTTTTGTTATCTTAAGCCGTTCTTAGATGATGATGCAAAGTAGTGTTATTTTACTCTTACCCCGTCAACAGACGTTTGCATAGAAATATAAGTTGTCGTAATTTAGTTAGACTAGCCAAATATTTAGATATAATATTTTTTTTATACAAAAGATATTGCAAGAAATTATATACTAGTGACATCTGAATAGTCTACTAATAATTTTATTACGTCATAATTAATTTCATTCAATATAAACTAAAGTTAAAAGACTTCAACGAATTTTAAATGGACGCATTTATAATTTGTTGTGGTAGGAGACACTACGGTTTCATTGTGATGATATAATTCATATCAACCATTAATTGTTCACAGCTGAACAAAGGTCTCCCCCATAAGGGGGGTTTTCCAGTAGTTGCCATACTTGGCAAGCGGGTTGACAACCGCAGTTAAGCTTTGATGATATTTTAATAGGAACGTTGCTGCCCATACCTCGATCATTAAGTTCCCTATACGACACCCACGGGAAAGAAAAAGATGGCCCATTGGGAGCACCCGACATTGTATGCACTTAGGTATTATGTACATATTTTATTAGTAGATATGCGAAATGTATGATATTGAATGAAGACGCTTTTAAGTTTCTGATATTTGTGAACTCGTGCAAGATATCGTTATCATATTTGAAAAATTTCAATTAAAAGTAAAATTGGTTTGTCTTTTATTTCCGTTTTACATGTGTCAAATGTAATGATGTAATTAAGAAACGGTTACTTAATTATTTTTATGGACACATCATTAAATAAAATATTATTATTATACGCAAAACATAAACATAGTAGAATTAAAGTAAATGAGAATCCCATTAGAAACATTTTATGTTAAAATTTGCTTGCTATTTTTACGAGGCCCCTAAAAAGTTATAAGGTCTCTTATGGAGCCAAGTCTGGCATCGTTGAAATTGTTAGTAACATTAATACAACAAAAGAAAAATCTCAGACTTGAGATTACAGATAGATATGAGACCTCATTACTTTTTATGGTGAAGAAGTGGCAAGATTTTGTATTAAATTTAAACGTAGAATAACTTTGTAAGGATTTTATTTCTTATTGCAAGTTAGAAAAATCTTCATTTATTAAGAAGATGAAAACCTATGATATACCTAAGTCCTCTTACGAGATACATTTTCAAATATATTTTTCTAATCTCAACGGTATAGTTTATCTGATTCCTTATATGTGTAAATTTTTATTTAACAGAAGACATTATAATATATCAGGCTTTAACTGTCCACTGCTGAACATAAGCTTCCCCTTTGGGGGGCTTTACCAGTAGTTGTCACGCTTGGCAAGCGGATTAGCAACCGCAGTTAAGCTTTGAAGGTATTTTAAGAGGGACGCTGCTGCCCATCCTTCGCCCTCTCTCAGTCGTCACTTATGTCACCCACGATAAAGGAAAAGGTGGCCTATTTTATGCCGGGACTACACGGCAAAGACGTTATATGTGTAATAGTGATCTTGAAACTCCTTTGTTTTGTTCTCGTAAATAATATCATTTTAGTTGTCAGAAGTATGGGCAATTATAGAAATAAAAATATTATATGATTGGTCGTGAGGGAAAGGAAACGTAGTTCTCTTTAGAGAGCGCGGTGTTTAGTAAAACAAAAGCACGGGAACGATTTAACAAACTGCCATATTTTAACAACATGTAATTAAAGGTTTGGCTCCGCTCGAATATGCATAAATCATGCGTCTGCCGCGAACTGCCGACCGAAATAGAGAAAAAATTAAAAACATTAAGCGCTCCGGACTTGGATACATAAAAATAATATCGATAGCTGCATTTGGTAGTTGAGAGATGCTATCTCTCTTCTGTTCACTCGTAACTTTAAACTTACGTTAATTAATCCAAGATGGAGTACCTAGACTTAGATATTAGTTAGAATACATATATAGATACATGTTTAGTGCTCTATTAAAATAAAATTATGTATATAAATTAAAACTTTATGAAGAGTGTCCTCTGCTTTCAGCATTCTTTTCTAGTTGGCTAATATTTGTAACTAATATTGAAATTTGAGTTCGTCGTCATGAAAATTGTATGTCGTAAATATATAGGTAAATATATTCTCGTAATATTGTTAAAGAGTCAAAAAATTCTTTTGTTAACTGTTATGTAGTAAATAACGGTGTTATACTGTATATTATCAATCGACTTCAAAAAGAAAAAGGTTCTTAATACGATTGTATATTTTTTTTATATTTGTTACCTCAACTGCGTCATTTATAAACCGATTTGGAAATTCTTTTTTATTGGAAGGATATACTTACAGTTTAGTTCCACAGAAATTTTATAAAATCGTTTCAGTAGTTTAGTTGTTGAAACGAAATTAATAATTACAAATAATAATAATACTTATTTGTTCTTCTCCACGATCCTGGATATTTCTGATTATGTAAGATTTTTTCTTATTATTTTTTTTTTAAATTAAATGGTGTTAGATGATTAAAGCTGTACATTTAAAACCCCCTCTATAGTTTGTTGATCTATGTGGTGTAATTTACAACATATTTAATCTGCACTCTCGAAGTCCCTTATGATGTCCATGTCGATTTTTTTGAAACACAATCTTAAATTATATTAATAACAACATTACTTTATACGATGCTTTATTACATGCTTACTAGTTTTTGTCCACTACTTCGTACGCATTGATTTCAGAAATAGGAAAATCAATGGAATAGTCTAGAAGTAGGTACCTAAATGTCACATCAAGGTAAAATATACACCAGTATTTAGACTTTCAGAAATACAACGACGGAAACCACATTCGAGCAGTTGTTTTTGTGTGATGCCGGTATAAACATACAAACAGTCAGACAACATTTCTAAAAATATTGTTTTGGCTTTTTTTGTTTTAATTAAGTATTAATTTTTCTTCAATATTTTGCACACAATTTTATTAGCTTAGTAAAATATTAAGTCTAGGACAGATACATTATTAATAATATGTATGTGACAACCGATATACACTATCGGAGATAATTTCATGGTAATTTACAATTTTCTACTGAATAATATAATACTAATGGGAATGCACTTAAGGAATTTTCTCTCGTTTGGGTCTTATAAGGAGAAATTCATGATTCTTAATAAACATAATACCTATATGTTTATTAAGTTTTATTGTGAAAGATAATATTTTCAATACTTAATGTTTTTATAATTAATATTATGTGAAGTAATGTAGTTGGCTAAAATAATGTTGGTTGTAAACAAGTACGTTACATCACCCGAATAATATCCATTCCAAAAAGGAATAATCTCAGGGTTTCGCAGTCAATTGAAATAAATAATTGTACCACCTCTTAATTTTAAGGCGGGCAATGTAAACATAACCTTTACGTACTGCGGCTGTCCCGCTCGCGTGTTCTCGTTCTCTTACGAGGCGAAGCTCGTAAGCTCATAATTCACGGGCCGGGGTGGGGTATCTCGAAGGCTGCGCCGGCGCCCGGGGGGGCGGAGGGGGTCGGGGTGCTCGCGCGCAGCTCTTGGTTTCGGACCCTCGGGCGGAGAAGCGGGGCCGGGACGAGGTGACAACCGCTCGTTACGTCTATTCCAAGCCAGTTATTAAAAACGTCTCGGCGTGAGCGGAGTGCCGCCCTGTAATTATCCAGTTGACGGTTTCGTTGCGTTCACGTTGTCACCGCACTCGCCGGAAATGCAATACGTGGATCCGCCCGCTCAACAGGTCCGTCCGCCCGCCCACAACTTTTACCTATTAATTGACGTTTCGATATACAGTTGGGTCCAATATTTTGAAATAAGTGTTCATAACTATTTGAAATATAATAATTAAAATAAATGTTATTTTTAAAATTTATTAATGTTTGTGGAAATAAAAAAAAATACAGTCTATAAATAAATATAGTTGATCTTAATATATGTATTCATTAATATTCAATGACATTTTTTTTGCAGATGATGAATATGATGGGAGGTTACACATGCGGCTATGGCCGTGGGGATGCGTTGTCACCAGCATCGGATCTATCATCATGCAGCAGTGCTTCCTCAGGTGCATGGTGTGGAGCACCTGCGTGGCGTGAACTACCACCGTATCCACCTCAGTACCCAACATACTGGCCGTCAACCCCCGCCGCTTCCGAGGAAGCACGTGAACTCCAGCGCCGTTGTGCTAAGTGCCGGTGCCCTAACTGCCTCACTGAAGCCGCCGGTTTCGGACCTAACTATGGCAAAGATGGAACAAAAAGGGAACACGTGTGCCATGTACCAGGCTGTGGAAAAGTATACGGGAAGACATCCCATCTCAAAGCTCACCTTCGCTGGCATACCGGGGAACGACCATTCGTTTGTAATTGGTTATTCTGTGGGAAACGATTTACACGCTCTGATGAGCTCCAGAGACATTTGAGAACGCACACTGGTGAGAAAAGATTCTCTTGTCAGCTATGTGCTAAGCGATTTATGAGGTCAGATCATCTTGCGAAACATGTTAAGACCCATGCAAATGTATCGAGGAAAAATAAGAAAGCGAAAGAGGACGACAAGGAAGAGCCGCCTAAATTGGCTGAGAAAACAGAACAAGGACAGTTGAGAAGCGAGCCAACCCCGCCTCCAGTGTCTGTCGGCAGCACTAATTACGGTACAGTACCGCAAGTCGCCAGTTTCCCTAAACAGATATCCCTTAACTATGCTTCGGTTGCTCCCAACGTGGTGTCAAGTGCAGGGAATGGCTACAACAGTGCACCGTTCGGTAGTGGTGTGATGAGTGGTTGGTATCCTGACGTGCGACAGGATTTTTATGCGCATACGCCCATGAGAGATCACCGAGTATATCAACAGTATCCTACTCCTCATTTGAGTACTTATCAGTGTGCCGCAAAAGATAACTATACTGTATTCCAAGGACATTACAATCTCCAGCCTCCTGTTGCCATGGGACAATAAGTATGAAATAATTATCTGTGCATGTTTATAGTGATACAATTTATTTAATGGATAATTAGAGGTTTTTCACATAGTTTGTTGCTGCTAGCGTTTATGTAAATATACGTATGTTTTGTTTGTCACCGTTTGTTTAGTTACCATAAACGTGAAATATGTTTTTATCAAAAAATCCAATTATCATGATATTACATGTGCCTTTAAATATCAATTAATACTGTTTTTTTCTTTAATAAATAAACGAAGTTATATTTTAAATATTGTCTATGATTTTTAACATAGATTATAGAAGGTTTAGTCAAAACATCTGCTATTATCTACTGACGTCTGAAATATTTTTGGTTCAATCACCATATGTAAATAGATTTTAATATTTTTTCTTCTTAAGAAAAAATGCAGGTATTCATTTTTGTCAGTCTATGAGGTATTTATATATTACACATGTTTAAATTGAACGGTTGCGAATGAAAATTATACCTCAACTTAATACATACCTGCTTTGTATGTTGATACACGCGTGATAGGTCGCGAAGAAACAGCTACTAAGAAATAATTAGCAAACTTTTAAAACAAGATATAAAATCGTAATTATTATTTTTAAATATACATAATAATATTTGCTGAATATTGCCTAGCCTGACATACAGTCAACATGAACGGCTCTGAGTCACATATCGTCAAAGTCGTAGAATACTGACGGACCTGACAAATATTACACATAAAGATCCGTCAGTATTCTACGACTACGACGATATATTGATGGCCATAAAAATTCAAAATTAATATGACAGGCAACGTTAATCTCCCTACTACTTTATATTAAAACATGTTTGTTGGAATGTGGGCTTGTCAATAGACGTTCTCCATAAAAGTACCATTCAGCAAATATCTCTGACTACTCCATCGGGGATTACAATCGTGATTATATTTAATTAAAACGACACAATGATCTTGGAGTAATGTAATTATTTATGTCAGCTTTATTCACAATAAAGTAAGTTAAGAGCGTATCTTTTAGTGATTGCTTAATAAAAATATTATTGCATAATTGTCGTTTTAGTTCGTGAAAAATGTTGTAATATAACATTTTTAAATAATGTATCAGAAACATCCAAAATGTTCAATTGTTTTTTGATAATTGACAGATAAATGCGAAGTTGCCATATTTCGTTATGAACTCTCCTAGGATATACCTACTTTTTTAGTTATAAATAGTATCTCCATGCATTATCAGTTATATTCTAATAATATAAATACGAAAGTATGTGAAGTTTGTATTTGGCATTCAATCCCGATTCAACAAATGAATGGAATTAAATAAAATTTACGAGTAGTAAGTACTTGTACACTGGTAAATCATATCATAAATGAATGCATAAATTACTTGTTATTCTAAATAATACAAGAAAGCTACAAGTTATAGCTACGATCTCGTAGCGTCATTGTAGCAAGCGCGTAGAACGGTTGGTCATTGTCCGTCATACAGTGTGAATTAAGCTACGTGATTTACTTATTGTCTGTCCCTAGATAGTTACTAGTTATACTCTTAAACGATTAGTTATATCCTTTAGTATTTTTTTTTGCTGTTGTAATGTTGCTGGGTCCAATCTGAAAATGTAATTTGCTAACATTTTGTTGTTAAAAGTCTCATAAGTAAACATTATACTTTAATATAAAAATAACCAGAATATTTTCCCGAAATTGGTCGAGCCTTCTTGACAAAAATACACGTAAATTAATCCGGGTGTTCTCACATTAAAATATTGATAACATTGCTATTCACTGATAAGATAATTTACTGATTTCTAATGATCACCGATTTGTCATTTCTACAAATCCTTTATAATCATATTAGCTATTATCTGTCCACTGCTGAACATAGACTTCCCCTATATACTGCCATCAGGAATTGTCCCGAGCCAACTGTATCCATTGACTCCCTGCAATGCATTTGAGGTCGTCACTCCATTTAGTTAGGGAGTCGTTATGCACTGCATTTGCCTGTACGGTGTTGCCACTTAAGACCTTTTCTTCCTTTAAATCCTTATTAATAATACGAAAATGAGTTTATTTACGTCTTAGTAATCGTAATTGTTGCCATGTGATCCCGGTATAGAATAGCCCACTCCTTCATTTCCCGTGGGTGTCATAAGTGGCGACTAAGGGAATTTTATGGTCGAGGGATGAACAGCAGGATCCTTATTAAAGCATCACCAAATCTTAACTGCGGTTGCCAACCCGCTTGCAAAGCATGCCAACTTTACTGGCAACCTCCCCCCCCCCCCTATAGGGAGAGGCCTTTATTCAGCAGTTGACTGTTAACGGCTGATGTGATGATGATGAATCGTAATAGTCGTTATAAATTTTGGTATATCTGTACTATCAGAGGGAGACTTTGTACAAAAGTCGTTTGTTTGGGTACCTCTGTCCCATTCGTATTTCAACTGTAAAGCAGTTGTGTTTGCATGGCTGTGTTTCGGTTTGAAGGGTGGGATATGGCGTGAGTTTACAGGGTGCAGAGAAATAACACCTGAGTCCTCAGAAATGGCAACGCATAGGGGGTACCACGGGCAAAACAGTATACTCTGTTATGTCCATAGTACTGCTCATATCTATAGGCGACGGTTACCACTTTCCATCAGGTAAGCCGTCAACTTGTTTGCCATTTTAAGTAGTATAAGAAAAAAAAACTATATAAGATGGAGAACGACTTAGTTACTTATATCCTAGTCAATAAACCACGAATATCGCGGGTAAGTTTCTAGTACTTATTTATATATTTTTATTTATTCTTATATTTATTTTAATACTATTGTGATATAGTAATAAAAAAATAATAAAAAACACACGATCTGTTTAATGATAAATGATTAGGTAATTTATGCACGTTCGCAATATCAAAAGGTATCACGTACGTTTTATCGGCCTTTAAAAAACCTTAGTACATTCGCTCTTTTTAAAGAACTTCTGTAATATCTGGGAAAACATCAACAGAAATATTATTCCACAACCTGATGATTTTTAGAAGGAACTCTTCTAAAATCGTAATGTTTGCACTAAAATTTAAATGCTGGGACGTGAATTCTTTGTCGATGGCGGTTGGTTGATTATAAATGTTTATAAATAAAACTTTTACAAAAATATTGATTTCAAAATATATACGTTTAATTAAATATTATAATAGATTTATTGTGTTATGAATTAAAGGATATAATAGTATTGTTGTGTGTACAGGCAAATGCAGTGTAATCATTAGATGGAGTGACGATTTTGAATGTATACTAGAGTTAATGGACGTTAGTAAATTGTTCGTAGTGGTAGACTATTACGGGGAATGGTATGTATGTTCAGCACCGGACAACATATGGCTCAAATTATGATGATGAATTTATTTGTGTTTATTACACGAATGATGAATTTAGCCTAGTTTAGAATGGAGATGAGGAATCGATCTTATAAATTTTGCTGAATTGATGGATGAGATTTATATTATGCTGTGGATAATATTCATCGCTTACTAGATATGAGAATAAATTATGAAGCTAAATTTACTTATTTTGCAATAATTTTCGATTGTGTTTACTTTTTATGAAATCGGTTTATGATACTGCATTATTAATTCATTTTCATCAATTAATTCAAAAATTTTAGGAATTGTTATAGCTGTAGATAAACATACATAGTACATAATTTGGTGTTAGATATTTATGTATAGTCAACACAACTATTATGATTTATATTAATTATTATATGGAAAGTTTTTTGAGTACATTATTACAATATATAAGATTGACAAATCACACTGGCACACTTTGGTAATGCCGCTCAGCGCAAGATGGCGCTAGGTGTACTTAGCCAGACTTGCATTGCGTCCCGGTTTGCGGCGGTAGTGGCGCGCGGCCGTGGCGTAATTGCACGCGGCTATTATCTGGGCGGCGCTCGCCGCGCATGGCGGCCGGTGCGAGCGGGATGCACTCGATAATACGTAAAACAAAACGAGGGAGTAATAATGGTAAAAAACGAGCAACACGCAAATTATAGTGAGAAATGAGGCAGCCGGTAGCGGTGGGGGCTTGCGTGGTGCGGTGGGGGCCGGCGCGCGGCAGTCGCGGTCGCTCGGCGCACGCAGACCGCCCGCGCCGCCTGCGCCGCGCCTCGCGAGTGTTGTGAGTGTGTGACATGCGCCACCACCGCCGGCGCCATGAGCGGCAACCGCACATCCTCACCGGACCTGCTCATGAATGTGAGTCCAGCCGAAAGCCAGCCCACATTACGCTTTGCTCCTATAACGATAACATTCCATTGTTTACATACTTTACATGGTTACTACTCGTAGGTGACACTTACCGAAATATTGGTATCTATATACTACTATAGATATCTCTAACCAGGTATGTCGACAAAATCGACAAAGTATTGGTTTTTAAAAAGTAACTAAAGTAGGTACTTAGGCATCAAAGCATTCCAATATCAACTTAGGTGCGGTACATTTCACATCAGTAAAGTTCTTTCACGGACTACCGTCTTCATTCAATATTAGTTCTAACTAATATTATATCTACAGCCAAACGTGTTGCAATTTGACACGGATAGATAATAATAAAAATCTTCCAAGAGTATATAAAATGAAAGGAAAAGGTCATGATTTTTCACGCTATAATAGACCTTAATTTTTAGAACAAACCGACCTAAATAAGGCCATAAAATGGTTCCGTGTCGAGAGCACCCCTGGGTATTGTCGATTTAGCACGCACCATAAGCGGCATATTAACCGCGATTGAGACTCTGGAGCCCTCCCTGGAGTCCTAACCTCTATTACTATTCATGGAGTCCGGGGTCGAGTGGACCCAAACTACCGTACCGTATACCCATCTAAGTATTATGTGAAAATTTTCTTCATATTTCCCTTTGAATACCAATTGAAGTCCTACACGCAGGGTAGTGAATATTTGATCAATTGGCTTCTCGTAAATGATTTGGTAATCAATATTTCAGTAACAAATTGCCTTTAGAATCTACTTAATCTAAGTAAGGAATAAGTAAGTAGTTACTTTAAATAAAAGATATTGTCTAACATAAAAGCCAACTTCAACCGTAAAAAAATTAGTATGGGACCACCCAATATGATCAAGTCAAGATGAGTTGATTCGTTTTGATTTATTTAATCAAAAGTAAATTCTGAATTATCAAAATCGTTTCAGAATCGTTGACTAATATACCATGTAACATATTTATG